ATCATGTGTTGCAAGTGCATGCACTGTCCCTTTCTTAGGGGTCCGATCTAAGAATTTTTTAAGAGAGGGGGAGTTAAACTTAAAGTTTTAAGAGAGAGAAATACACAGAGAAATTCTTGCACACTATCGCCTCAGTAAGCTAAAGAATATTGCAAGACAAGTGAATATTAGATACCGTATACTCAAGTGACTTGCGCTCCTGTCGTTGCAAGAATTTTTGGGGCAGACAGTGAGTAAAAATACCCAAGGGTCTGGTGGGAATAGGGTAAGGGGTTTGGCCCCCTCGGGACCCCCCCCTCCTTGATCCACCACTTAAGCTTGTCAAGTACCCCACCACATACGGGTATATGCAAGCAGCTTCTCTGTTGCTGCCAGGAAAGTGCTCTTTAAAGGAGAGCTTAAGAGTAGTAAATAAGTTCCACGATGCGCGATGTCAGTTTGTGAGCTGAAAAACTGCATGGAGTGGAGATGGAAGGAACAGAATGTGCTTGGTACACGAACCGAAAATCTTTCCGTTCGTCACACACAACCAAGAAAAGGAAAAGTCTCTTTTAAACTGGAAACTGCAAATTTCTCATGTTCAGAATTTCGTGGACGGGTTTAAATTAACTGCTTAAAAGCCAATTTTAGTTTAATCTTGCTTGCGATATAAGTTATTTAACGAGGTTGTGACCCAGTCACCACTGCTCTGTGATTCTGTGACTCGACCGTTGATATTGCTATGGTCACAGAAGACGATTCTGAACAGGACAGAGTGTTATTCAAATTAATTCTTTATACTGAACTTCCCCTTTGGACAATGTTTTAGCCTTTACCAGTATTAAAACTTAAATCGTTTAAATTAGGACAATATCAGGGAGGAACAGTGTAGTCAGTTTCCGTGACTTCCGGTAGTGTTGACAACCGACCACGACTTGCATGCTTCCTGCGCAAAATTGTTCAAGGAGATTGCAAAATCTTTCACCGTTCGTTTTTTTTTTCTTTAAGAAATAATAAGGGCCATTTTTTTTCTCTGTATGATTCATGAGAGGTACGCGATTATGACGCATTCAGTGTGTGGTTGATTCGAATTGCATCTTCACTGTCGGCGGGGGCCAATCGGACTGATCCATCTACTTATAATTAAAAGGTTGAAGTGACAAAAGGCGAGGCGTCTATCATTTTTTACTCTTAAATTGTAAACCATCACCTTTTTTTTTCAGTAAGTTTTGTTCGATAAGACATTCAGCCGAAAACTGCAACTTAGATGATTTGATTAAAAGTTCTTACAACAAGAATTAAACATCTCGGTAGAGGGGAATGGTGACGATAAGGATGAAGACATAAAGCTTGAACCCAGACCTCACAACCCGGAGATTAAAACACAAAAATAGTAAGACTAGTTTCAGTATATTCCAGTATGACTGAACTTCAATTTCCTTTGCGTTTCCTGTTGCTGCTCGGCGGTGGATCAAACAGACAGACCAATCGGCTTTACCGAAAAAGTGCGGTGTTCTTGCATAAACGAAAAATTCTAATCTTTTTTAAATTCGATTAAGAGGATATATTACCACAAGGTGGAATGGCCATTAGTAAGACTGATAAGGAAAAAGTCGTTCCTTAAATTTCTCTTTGGCAGCTCTTCGGGGAGGAAACTAGTCAGGGTCTTGACTGCTTTTGAATTTATTTGACCTCCTAAAGAATCGACGGTGTGATTAAGGAACAGAGATGAAAAGAGAAAGGTTGAATGATAGCAATGGGTTTTGGAAGATTCATTAAGTGTGCTCTTCAAATGCCCAGACTACCCATTGTCTTTAGCATGCTCTGCCGACCTTTCGTATACGGCACACGAGCAATTAGACCTTGTTGATGTAGCTTCTCTCAAACTTCAGCTTAGAAGCATCGGTGAAAAACGAGATGGTGTCACTTTGGCTATGGAAAGGACAAACTTCAATGCAAAGTTTTGATCGTGTAGGTTTGAGTTTGGGCATTAGGCCAACCCACTATACTCTCATTAAAATCTCCTGGATCTCTCCTCGACCAGCCTTCATTCAGAGAGGAGAGTCCCAACCCAGGGGATTATTGAAATAATCGCAATGTAGCTGAGTCAAAAATGAGGCGACTGCAAGGCCAAAACTACATCAAAATGAGGAAGATCAAAATACAACTGAAGATGTCAGCGGAAAAGAACTGTAGTAAATAAGGTTACGATGGAATAGAACCAGAAGCTCAGCGTTGGTAGGAAAGGAGGAGGACTGGGGATGACCTATGCCGCACAGGGGAGCAAAGGAAAAGAATATCAGAAACCTGCATAAAATTAGCAAAGGCATGGGGCCCGGATGCCTATATCCAATAACAATGAGTCTAATAAGGCGCTTTTGATCCGTTTCCGTTCCATCTGACAGAAACTAAGACAATTTTTTCAAGGCTACGCAAAATAATCTATTGGCTTTAAGCTCTCCATATGCCACGCCCTTAATGGAATTAAATTAAGGAGACATAGCTTCCTCTTGACTTCACCATGCCGGATCGTCCCCAGGAAGATGACGACCTGTTGATTTGTATATCCTGACTTGTGACCTGAAGGCTAACGACGGGTCAAAAAGATATAACTTTTAACACCGGTCGAAGGAAATCTCCAAGGCGCTTTCCGAAGAGAGTTACTTACCATTTAAATCCACAATATTTATTATAAAACGATTCTGTTAGGCTTCACGAAAATTAAAGTGATAACGATAGAACAGAACCCAAAGTGAACTTTGGTTTTTTTCGCCTTTAAGCTCAAATCAAACCAGTATAAAAAAATATATATCTCTCCTTTGTTTCCTTCAGTTTTCATCCCCGGTCCTATGGAATCTTCGAGTCTTCACTCTATCAGTGACTAAAATGATCCTAATTTTGTTGAACGAAAATTCTTCCAGCTTTAATCCTTTACATCCTAACATCAGTATACATTTTCTCCATACTGTTCTCTATACATTTCCTATGGTACCGACAAAGAGAATTTGTTTAACAATCAAGGGCTTCTTTAGTTGGTGATTGATTCCTTTATTCTCATGACCTCAATGCTTGTTTTAGGGGTGATACTGATGGGGGGATAATAGTTATGAATCACTCTTATTGGTTAAAGAGTTAATTAAAGGAACCCTAGGTGAGATCAGTCTGGTATCATGTGAGAAATGCAGCCTGGTCATGATGATCATAGGATTACTTTTGTCTAATCTTTACACTGCTGGAGCTGCTAAAAAAAGGATCACCAAATTTGATGTTATGTGATCTTTGTTATTAGAACTACTAACGGTCGACACGAGACGCCACTCTCACACTGTCCGAGTGAGATCTATTGATCTAAAGGTTCTTCAAAAACCGAACATTACGCCCGTTTTCAGCTTAACACGCTAAGGACCTTAAACAAACCACGACGCCGACAGCAACAAGGATTAGACAAAACAAAAGATCTAATGGGCACAACAGTATCAACACGTGCATTTTAAAACTTTGTATATTTCGTAGCTGTCCTCTGCAAAACAACAACGTGAAATCTGATAAAGTAAACCTTGTCGGAAAATTTTTTCAGTTTCCATGAGAATCTCAATGAGGCGAGGGCTTTTACGGCTGACAGTTAAAATTTCGGCCAATCTACGGATAGCGGTTAACATCTTTCCATTGTTGTCACCAGAATTATTTTCCTACCGTAATATCTTTTAATACTAACGGTTAAAAATTGTCAATTTTTACGCCTAACGGTTAGTTTTTGGCCGTCAGTTTACGGCTAACGGGTAACCTTATTGAGACCCTCTTCCATTTGGAACTCAACCCAGCTCACGCTCACGTAAATAATGCTGAAGTTGAGGTGTGGCGCCGCAAGAAACGGTGAACACATCCAGCCATTCGCGAAATTCTATCCAAAACTAGAAATTTTATTTTTAACCGACGTCTCCCTCGGCGTTGCCTTTCCCACTTTACCTTTTGGGACTGATGCAAAGCAAAGTCGGAGTTTGGCGATATCATTACTTTTTCGGGGAGAACTAACTAAGTAACTAGCTAAACGAGGCCTAGAACCAAACCTGGATACTTTATGACCTTTTGCAGAGAGTTGTACAAATGTCCGTTCACGCTTCAGACTGAGATCGTCAGTTTTAAATTACTCGGTGACTAATAGGCAGAGTATTTTGAAAAGTATTTCTTGTGGGAATAAGAAAGATCGTGAATTCCTGCTTACGTCCCTAGCTCGGAAACCCGTGGGATATGTCGGTACACCCACGTCCTTCGACACGGCTCACGGGGCCGCCAGTTCGAAAATACTTAGCTCAGACGAAGTGCTGCTCACTCAACAAAAGTGAACTTTTGACGAAAAAAAAAATCAGTTAGCGTGCACTGCTCGAACAAATCTGAACAATTCTGATTGCTCCGCATATTGATAAAATACTGATTTAGCTGTAATTAATCTCTTTATAACCGTTTGCTCACCGAAATATTTGCTACTCCTTATCACATCTAATGCGTAGAACCGGTTTGACAAGTAACAAAATATAATCGAAGGCGAGTCGAACGTTTCCCACTTAATAATCGTAACCGTCTGAGTTTGCCTACCAAATAAATAAATCTTGACTTGATCATGTGCACTGAGCGATCTTTCATATTTCCCTGTGGTCCAGAAATTCTTGCTCAACGTTTCAACCGCTGTTATTTCACCGTTAGCATGGGAGGTCCTAGAGACAGATGTATTTGCCATTTGTTCATTATGGCATCTCCACTATTTTCATTCGCCGGGGGTGTGTTGCGTGTAATCGAACAGGAAGTTAGTGACCTTTTATTTTTCAATGCCTGCCCTGACCTCAGAGCTTCCCAAATAATTTCCGGTGTTGAAGATTCCGAACTGCGTTGTAATCGGTTCATTCAGTGCGGCGCGGGCGTGAGTCCCAATACAGCCTTAAGTGTAAATTGCACAAATATGCTAATAGTATTAGATTGATGAGAAACAGACCATATATCAAGCACAAAAACTACTACTGCTTGCAAGCGCTGAGAATCTCACCAATCTCCGCCTTTTTTATTCACCCGTAAACTCGAGAGGATATCATTTCATGCCTGGAGGTACTTTTGATCAAACATAAATAAATCGTCCTTTTTCATCGCCATAAATCCATTTAGCGTTTCTGGCACAAATGAGCCCAACTGTTATTTTCTTATTAAGACATGTTGTTTCTCTTTTAAACTCAATGATCCCGCCTCCTGGGTTGTGTTTATCATTCACTGCTGTGTGAGGTTTTACTGTTCGATTGTTTTCATTTGAGATATATATGATAGGTGCCGATAAATATTTATACAAAGCAGAACTAAGAATTTATCGGCGAAACACGACTTAAACCCTCTACCAAGCTGGATTATCTCAATCTGTGTAATCCGTGCTAGGAAGCATTTTTGTGAACTAAGCAAACTTTGTGATCTAACATTGCGATAAAAGCATCCTTTCAGACTGATACTACGAGGTGGCCCTTCAAATCTCTCATGCCCCCTATCACGCCCAGCCATGAAAGGTTTAGTTTATCTTCTCCATTTACAGTGCGGTCGACAACGAGCACTGTGATTGGTCGTTTGTCACCCCACCTAACTCCGTGTCAATCCCTTCTTGTCAAGCAAAGCACATTTCTTGTGTTTTGTTGGAGCTGTTTGAATCATGCAAGCCACACAAAATAATCTGGGTTTGTTTCGCGTTTTCAAACCAACGATTCTTTTTCACGCACCTCCGCTGCCGACTCTTCAACAAATCTTTCGTCCGCCTGAGCTGGGAAATTCGTCATCGCTTTGGAAGCAGCCGGTGGGACCTCTTGGCTTTGCTGCTGCTTTCACTACAACGCCTCCACCCCCTGTTAATGTCCAAGCGTCTCCGATGAGTTTTGATTCTCAGGTTGTTATTCCTTCTCTTTGTGTCGTGCCACAAAATTCTGATCAACCGCCCAAGAATTTTAAATCCGGTGCGTCCGTCTTACAAGTACTGGAGGAATCGGTCGAAAAATCGAACGCTTGTGTCCCAAACTTGAATGGAAAAGGAAGAAAGAAGAAATACCCTTGTCCGTTATGCGACATACGATGCAGCAACAACGGTCAGCTTCAAGGTCACTTGAGGATTCACACTGGGGAAAAGCCTTTTCAATGTACTTTTGATGGCTGCGATAGACGATTCGCTCGCAACGAGGAATTGACGCGCCACAAACGCATCCACACCGGTGTTCGCCCTCACAAGTGCGACATATGCAATAAGGCGTTTGGACGAAAAGATCATTTAAGCAAACATCAAAAGACACATCTTCAAAATTCCGAGAAAAAAGTATTTACGTGTGTTGTGTTGGGTTGCGGTCAAAAATACAGTCGCTCTGATGCCTTAACTCGACACCAATGGACTGCTCATTCCCTGACAAAGGCAACTTCTCGGGCGATCAAACGCCTGCCGCGTGATCCGCATGTCTTGAGGACTATGAATCCATGTACAGTCCCGGCCAGTGGTACGTGGTTGAGCTCGTAACACTCCAACTAACTTACCGTCCGGCTTAGACCTGATTTGTTTATGGTGACATAACAGTGAAATAATTATGGATCTGCTAAGAAACGTCAGAAACTCACAAGCACGTCCGCAGACAGTCAGAGAAGGAGACCGAAGAATCAAGCACGAGTTACAAGTGTTTCGTCGGCAAAATCGTTTTATTGTAGAAGCTAAAGCACATTAAAGGTGCTATCATCGCCTTGTTCCATTTATTACACGCTTTCATGGTGGTATTGAAGGTCAGGAGCGCGACCTTATCTGTGAAATTTAATATCGTTCGGACAAGTCTTCAATTCACCACTTGACGCTCTGGGTTTTTTTATCAAGACGCCGGCTGGCTTTGACATGTGACGATGTAGTGAAACAGATTTTCTAAACATCGAAAGCACTGACAGTTACAGCGAATTTTACAGAAAGTCTTAAGTGTTGTGGATACTCTTTCTCTCCCCTTATGTTTATTTACTATAACTGAACAATTTCACTCAAATTTGCAAATTAAGCCTGCTCAAAGGCAATTAAGAATTCTATTAAGAACAGTGTTAGCTAACGTGTTCATTAGCAAATAACAATAGACTTGTTATCTTTGGCAATCTATTGTGCCACTTAACGCCATTTTCCCCCACAATTTCATTATTTGTCAGTCAATGGAAGAAAAACAACCGCATCAAATTAAATGACGCCCGTCGGAAACACACAATGGATTTTCCGTGGGAAAAATCACAGACAAAGGAATAATTTAATGACGATCGCCTGTACTGGTAAAAAGTTAATAAAGTAAGAAATGAAAAGGTGTGATTTCATAATTTTTTCAGTCAGTTATGATGATGTTTGTGATTTGCCTCAACCGTAAGATGGCCAAAGAAAAAACGGCTACGGAGGGAATGATTTATACGCATGGTAGCCGCCTACGCGTAACAAACCAAATAACAGGGCCGTAAGAGGGTCGTAAGAGTCTCCAAAGGAAAAGAAAAGCCGGCTTGACCTAAGCCATTCTCTAACTCACGCCCACTGAGCTATTGACCGCTGAGGCGATCAAAATGTAGGAAGTACTGTAGCATCATTTCCGCGAATTGTTATTGTTGCCTGTGCTGACAGCAGTACTATAGAGCTGGACTGGAACGTTTCAAACACGCTTCTGTTGAAAAGTGTTATTGAATGAATTGATGCCGAACTATAATCTGGAGGAAGCGAAATAATCTGTGTTCACCATTTTAACGACTACGTTAGGTAGCCTTTTATAAAACAGGCTCTCTGTTTTAATTTTGAGTAGAGGTTTTTTAAGAAGAATGCGTGAACATGGCTTACATGTGCCCTTATTCTGATGCAGTTCCGATAAACGTGACGGTTTACCAAAAAGCTTGGGGAGTAACTGACGCGTGGGTGATGTGTGAAGAATTTCGAAATCGAGAAGAAACCTTTCTTCCTTAACCTCTCAGTTGTTTTGTCGCCGCGGTTTTTCAATGATCTACGACAACTTGCGAATTACGACAGGTAAACATTCGTAAAAGAAATCCTTCTAACTTTGAGATGATAAGCGTGAATGTGGCTTACGTGTTCCTTCCTGCGGTTTCGATCCTGGACCAAGACCAAGGGGTAAAGAAACATGATTCTAGAATACGCGGGCCTATCTATAAGAATACTCGTGAAGGAACAAGCCCACGACTATCTGCTCTTGACAGTGGCCGGCGCGTGGGCCCTCATCATTAAGAGTGTTGCAGGGCGCGTGTTTCACCGCCCGCGGGAAGATTTTAGACGAGCCGAGGAGCTAGAAGAGGTTTGCCTAGGGCCTGGCACTAATGATGCAATGCGAGCCAACTCCTTGGCCATGAAGACCTCGTCTGACTCAAGGCCTCGTACTTACCCGCGAGCGAAGAAACGCTCGTCCCGAAACGCTTATCATGACGGAGCAAGCTGTTTTAACTGTACCCGAAACCAGTTTTGAATTTTGGGGTACTTGGGTGTAAGATGGATATACGCAAAACTAGTTTAATGTAGTACCCCTTGCCCTCCCATATGGTTGTAAAGCAAATGATGCAGTCAGTAAATTGAGCAGCGCAAACGCAATTAAATTAAAGAAATCACAACAGCCAATCAGAACTAAGGTTAAAATCACAGGAAGCGAAAGGGACAAGAAGATAAACGTGGTCTGATTGGTGGAGAGAATATTCTTGAGCGAATACTCTCAGCTATTATCACAGCATTTCGACTGCGTTCAGTTAAGCGCTGAACGAATGTAGTTGAATAAACTTCTTTTTTTCATTTCTTTTTTTCTTCTTCAACGGTTCCGACGGTGAACATCACAAATTTCATTATCATTATTTTTTCTGAAGAATAGAGATATTTTTATGATTAAGAATGCTGGATGATAATAGTGCATCTAACGATAAATTAATTTAAAGATTATAAAGATTTTTGATTCACGCTTTAATCAAAAGAAAGAGGGTAAATTCCTCATACCGATTAATAAGTTTGTTGTTCAGTTGGGACATCTCTTACAGCTTTGATTTTTGCCAGTTCAAAATTCATTTCAGTATCTGAAGGATCTGAAAATGACAATAAAGATGATTTAGAGCCACAACTGCCACTTCAGAATATTAGGAAAATGATTTGAGCACTTTATCTTTTAGGAGAATAGCAATGTAATGGAGCTCTTCTTACTTATTTTTTCTCTGGAAATCAAGTTCAAGTTCAAGTTCAAACATTAAACCAGTTTAAATGAAAAAAAAAACAGCTTTTGTGTGAAAATTGTCATTAGGTAAGGCTTCCATCAGTAAAGAAGGAACTACTTGCTGACAATAAAACTTGCAAACTGTTGCTACAACAGTTTCCCAAAACTTATCACTAATATTAATAGTAACAATAAATATTCCTTTACTTGTATAGGTAACAAAATCGCAAGTTTTTAAACCCAAAACTGCCATGCCAGTCTGAACTTGGAAATAATGTAGATGATTTTTGTTGAGAAAAAATTCCCATTTTCATCTTTTTTTCCATCAACAGTTGGTAGCAGGAAAGCAATTTTAGAGTCAAGGTCCTTCCTTAAAAATGGATAATTTATCCCTATTTCTGTAGGGTCACAACACTGAGATTTTCTATTACCATTTAGACTTGCTCCTATCCAAAAATAACCACTAATAATTAGGAGACCTGGCTCCTGAAGATCAAATAAACAATGCTGTTTTTCACTGAATTTTGAGTAGTAAAATTTTGGATTTTCTTCTTCTATTGTTCTATGGTTTCAGGATACACTTGGTTTTCTTTAAATTCTTTCTGTTCAGTGGTATTTTTAACAGTGAGTAATACATCAGTATGAGGATCTTCGTCTAAAGTTTTTTTTGGCGGTATAAAGAGATTTGATTTTTTCCCCATAACTAAAAGGTGTCTCATCTCATGCAGGTTTTGTTGCTGTGTTGTCTTATGGATGTTTTGATTATAATCATTCTATTATTGTCTGAAAAGGTCTAGGCTTTTAGAAATTCTTCAGCAAAGTTTGAAAGGTTGTCCTCAAATAGCTTATTAAAATTTATCTTGAGATAATTCTCAGCTTGAGATGATATGGTCAGGTGAGATATATTATCAAGATGTGAAAAATCTTCATTTTCATCATAGTTTACGGAAAATGGTAAAAAAATCAAGAATACCAGAACAAAGATCAACTTTTCTGAGTTTCTTTGCAAAAAAAAATTTTTCTAAAAGTAGACGTTATTTCCTTTCTACCTTTCATGGGTCTAGGATTAAAGGAATCAATCCAAGAATCATCATATAATGTTATTTTTCTTTTCTTTTTCATCAAAGAGCTTTTGGAAATGTAGGGACAGGTTTGTGTGTAGGTGTTGGCAAGGGGTCCAAATATGCAGACATAGAGGTGACAGACTTTCTTTGATTTGAAAGAAAAACATCAAGTTCAAACAAAGTTGCACCTAAATGTCTGCATCCTTGATCAGCTTCACCTTGGCACCTACAAAATGCAAAATACACAGACCCAGTTGAGTCCAAAACAAACCAGAGCCTGTAGAGTTTATCGCCTTCTTGAGTTTTTTCCTTTCTGAGTTGGTATAACTCCAGCTACAAACACACAAAAAAATACTGCCATCAAGGTCCTTTGTAGCATTTACTCCAAGGCTCTGAACATGGCCATTCGTACATAGATTACACTCTTCAAATGAGCACCAGGAGGATAAAATGCTTTTATCTTAATCAGCTTTGCTCATTATTAGATGATTAAAAATGTCCATTAGTCCAAATGGAGGGAGCTGGGAGAAGACACTGGACAATGATGCTATTTGGAAGGGGTCCAAAATTTTTGTCCCACTGGAAGCATGAGGCATCTTAACAAACATTCATCAATGAACTCACTTTCAAAGTCAGGGTCAGTAGGAAGGTCCACAAAAGCAACTGCTCTAACTAGCTGAATAAGTACAGGTTTGTGGTAAATGGAGACTTGAACATGCTGGGCAGAAATAAGTGCTTTAATTTGTTTCACATCCATTTGGTCAAAGTTGGGATTGGTAGATGTAGTGATGGCTATTTTTGAAGGTGGTTGCTTGTTAGTGTTACATGCAGTTTTGTCTGTAGATGTTTGGGAACCGGTTAGGTTAGAATAAGATGGATAATGGACAGCAGAAGGTTTAGTACATGTAGCTAGATTTAGCTGTTTCACAGAAGAGGTTTAGCTGGCACTGGTAGCTTCTGGAGATTGAGTTGGCTTATTCACAGTTGTTTAAGAGTATGAAGACAATGTTTTTGTATTTAAAGAAGCTAGATCTTGACCAGGTTGCTTGGATTCTGTAGCTCTAATCGAAGGTGGTTTGAAGGAAGGATGAGTTTGTGACATCTTTTCACAGCTTTGGCAAATGAATTACCATTGTTTTTTGAATCTATTGAAACAGAGGATGCTGTATTCTCAGGCAGAGGAGCACCACAACAGCTACCTCTAGGCAGGAGGAGATTAAAATTATTTGCTTGAGCATCATCATCATGATATATTAGAGTGATTGGACAACTGCACTTTCGATGAAAATCGAATCGATGAAAACGAATCAATGTTCATAATCGGTTCAAAGATGTACCATTTTTTCTGCGACAATGAAAAGGTGCAAATGGGTCGCTTGAGGAGCGATGCGCAGCTGAAGATGTCCAGTTTCGGCTAAATCTCCCGTTATCTTGCTGTTCTTGACATGATCCTCCACGAAGTTCGAAGAGAAAAGTAGCGGCTCAAACACCTTCGTTTTTCTCTCTATCAAACTAGAACTCAACGTGCGGATTTCTTCATGTTTCTCATCACTTATTTCATCATTCCAGAGAGTAATAGCTCGGTAAAAACAATTTCCATCTCCTCTGACAACGACTTCTCTCCTTTGAGGATTTAAAATTCTGGAAGCCATAATTTGTGTATAAAAGACGTTAGCTAGTATTAAAATTGGTTGTACACACGTCAATTTTACTGAAAGTAATTTATGGGACGATTTCTTCTGATTTATACGTAACTTTGTGATATTTCAAGACCATTACCAGATGTCGATTTCCCAATAAACCTTACGAAAGGAGAGAACTTTATCGGTAGATTTTAACACATATTTCATGGTTATTTAGACAAAAACTTACACTGTCCACGTATCAACATTGCTTTAATCCTTTCCTGATAAAACGGCTGCAACAAAGTAATGAATTCTCTCTCTCTGAATTCTCGTATCAATTTGCGTTGTTTACCCTGTGGCAAACCCAGAACCCTTTGCGCAGAGCAGAGAGATTTGATTTCCGGCATCTCATTCATTTATTGGAACCGTCTAAATTTTCAGTAATCCTGATCGTCACTGCGATAAATCATGGCTGAATCTGAAACGTTTAATCTGTCAGGAGCTGAAAAACATGTTGAAGAGGACAGACCACCGAACCGATTTCGGTTGTTCGTTGGTCTTGGTATATTGGGAGCAGCAGTTGTAATTTTCTTCCTTGGGTTTGTCATCGGTTACTTTGCAATGAAAGCCGGTGCAAGTGAGTCTCCTGCAATGGTTCCCACATGCCCTGTTAACGTCTTACCTACGACTTCACCCACGGGAAAGGGGGATGAATCTAAATACAAGCAACTGCATGAAATGATGGTCGATTCACTCACAGCTGAAAAGGTTGAGGAATTTTCCCGGTAAGTTGCACTTTAATTTTATAACTTTTTGCTGCATCACATTTACGCGCGACGCGGTGAATATTGCAACTTCGCGTGAGTATTTAACAAGCGCCAACAGTTCCAGTCTACTTGAACAACTACTCCAAATGAGCTTGGTACGGAATACGTTTTCATTTCCAAAATAGATAGTAGAGGGAGTATTTGCCGTTGAAGGTACTTTTCAGTCGATCGTAACTCAGCGTGGCGCTCGCTTAACAAGTTTTACTTCCTCGTAAAAGTGAAAGCGTAAGAACCATCTGCTCAGGCTGGGTTTTCGAGTGCAGGATGGCACTTTTACAGGAAAGTTAAGAGAGGGCAGATAGAGATGGGAGGATTTGTTATCGAACCCATGGGCTCCAAGAGGCAAATAGGTTTATCAACTGAAAGCTAGGCAAATATCTTGTTTCAGAGAAATGGTGAGTAGTGAAATAATTTGTCTAGAACTTAGAGCCCACTCGCCTTAGTGGCACTTAAGGAGCATATGAAACGAAATTTTTTCTTTGCATTTTCTAGCTCAATCTGGGTGATAGCTCTGTTTAAAATTATAAATCATCAACCTTAGCGCCCAGCGAGTACTCCTTAATTGTTTTTTTTTTGTGCATTGAAAGTACAATTTGGAGGTCAAAAAGTGTCTCCATTAAGGTTACTTCCCACCTTCAGAGGCCAAAAAAACTTCCATTTGACTCAACTGAATTATAACAGTCAACCTAGGGTTTCCATGAAAAAAAATTCTGTAATCTTTCAAAGCATGCGAGTTATTTAGAAAAACATATTTTCAAATTCTTGGTTTTCACCCACAAGACTTTTGTATTGACAACAGTTGCTATCTGCCATGTTGGTGCCCAAACAAATAGTTACAAATGTGCTTATAGTAAGGTGAAAGTGAGAAAGTAGAAATGGTTCATTGCATAGTTTTCAGCTGTGGCAGTAGAAATGATCGAGACAAAGGGATTAGATTTCATAGAATACCATCAGTTATAAAAAGTAAGTCTGCCTTTAAAGAAGAATTGATGACCAAGAGGAGAGAAAAGTGGATACAAGCGATAAGTCAGGGTGACAAAAAAGCAAAAGACACTCTCAAAAGCAAACAAGTATGCAACAAGCATTTTGTCTCTGGAAAGCCATCTCCTTACTGGGACAAGCACAATATAGACTGGGTGCCAACTTTAGAGCTTGGAAAGAAAAGTTATGGCTGTGAGATAGACTATGAAGCAAGAGCAGAGAGACAAGAAAGAGTGAAGAAAAGAGAGAAATATGCCATTGAGCAACAGGAATGTGAAGTGGCCGAGAAGTGTTGGAAACTCAGTGAAAGCAGTCTTCCTGTGGCCCAGATTGACTTTAATCAGCCAAGCACCTCCACAGAAGAAGAGAAAACTAGCAACAAAGGAAAGGAAGATGCCTTTACGGATGATCTTATGGCATGTGATGAAGGCAGTGAGTCTGATGAAATCATAACTAAAATTATGAGAGACGCCGAGTGCCAAGCAGACACAGAGTGAAAGGATTTGGAATGCCAAACCACCAAGTTAGAATATATGTTTCAAAAAAGCAAGCATTGGGCACCAGATAAAGATTTTTTTTAACTCTGACAAGAAGGTTTGCCTTTATACTGGTCTACCTTCCTTGGAAGTGCCAATGGTTGTGTTTGACCATGTAGCTTCACATGTTAAAAGGCAAACTCAGTCACTTGATAGGTTCCAAGAGTTTATTATTGTACTCATGAAACTTAAGGCTTAATCTACCATTACAGGGTCTTGCCTACAGTTTTTGTTGTATCAATTTCAACCATTTCAAGAATATTTTTCCATTGGATTGTGGTAATGGACAAGAGACTATTTCCCTTTGTTTTCTGGCCAGACAGGTATCAACTTTGGAAGACAATGCCCCAGTGTTTCCGGTATGCCTTTGGCAGGAACACAACTGTTGTCATTGACTGTTTTGAGGAGTTCATTGGAAGGCCATCAGACCTGCTTGCCAGACATTTTCCAGCTATAAACACCACAACACCATAAGATTATTGTTGGATTAACCCCACAAGGAATGATTTCTTTTGTTTCAGAAGCCTGGGGAGGTCTTGTCTCCAACGAATTTGTAACAGAGAACTGTGGTTTCTTGGTCAAGCTTCTTCCAGGAGATATGGTGATGGCTGACCAAGGATTTACCATCAGTGTAAGAGTTGGCCTCAAGCAAGCGAGACTGGTAATCCAAGCTTTCACAAAGGGCAAATCTCAACTGGACCCAGTGGATGTGGATCAGACGAGAGGGATTGCAAATGTAAGGATCCATGTGGAACATGTAATTGGATTGCTCAGATGGAAATTTACAATTCTGGAAGGTACCCTGCGAACTGACTATCTGATGTCTCATCATGAAACTCTGATCACCACACTCCACTGGTGGATCACATGACAAGAATTTGTGCAGCTCTTGTTAACTTCTGTCCTACTATTGTACCATTTGATTAGGCAAACTTCCTTTGAGACTTTAGAGATAGAAATATCACTTTCCCCTTCACCACTTGAGGAATCTGATGAAGAACAATACTTGGTAAGGGTGGTGGCTGAATAGATTGTGGCAAGTTTGTTGCATTCAGAACATTTCCAATAATTGTCGGGCATTCTGTTTAAACTGTGGCAGGTAAAGTGGAAAAATTTTCCATTTTTACAGTTGTCTCCATGGCATTCTACAACTGTCTCTGTTGTACTAGGCTTAGCCTTGCAGATGCAAATGTTATCCAATTTCATAGCTGCCTGAATAGATGCCATAGAGGGTTGTGCTGATGTCCTGGTACCACCTCTTCTCTTGAATTGGGGAAGTCGAGAGTAGTGAGGGCAATACCAAGTCTTCTGCTTTCTCATGGTTATGAGCTAAAGACAGGAAGGGTGAAACCTTTCATAAGGGCACTTTTTGTTACTGCATGAAATGGTGCATCCTTATCTGGTAATTTAGGGGGCACTGTGCATCTTCAGGTTTACCATTGCCCTAGAATTTCTGAAAGAATGCGTATTCTCCAAAATGTTTCCAGTTTGGGCAGTACAGAGTTCCAGTGCTGCACATCTGGATATTTGCACAGCACTATTAAATTCATGCTCTTTTTCTCATCAATGACACAAACCACAAAGTCGTAATACTTGATTTCAGGCACAGAGAAAAGCTGTCGCTGCACCTGATAGTAATAGCTGTGACTTTTTCTGAGCTGTAAATGTCCATTCATTTTTTCTAGGCAGGAATTCTTCTGCTGAGCAAAGTTCTCAAAGTTGCCATCTTTGATTATAATTGGGCACTTCACTTCACCACATCCAGTGCCACAACAGTCACATGACACTAGAAAATCAGGAGTGGAATGGAGAAATTCATGTTCTTTGTTGATAAATAAGCCACACTTCTTAACAGTTAAGTTCACATGACCAGTTTTTACAGCAGTTTCGTATGCATTTACAGCATGACTTTCATGCCTCTGACCATGCCTGGTAGCTTTATTGTTAACTATGTAGAGGCTTGGTTAACAAATTGTTTTAATCAGAGAGTGAGAGGGCTGTGCAATGTTTGTGTGAAATTCTGCATGACTTTCAGACGCACCAATTCTGCCAGCTCGATGTCTAAGAAATCCTGACCCACTAGCTTGATCTCTTTTGTTGAGTTCCACTTTGTTTACGTCCTCATCAGAGATATCCAATGTCACTTCAACACATTTTCTCAGTAGTTCTGGATAATCAAGATCAACATTTCCCGTTTCAAATAGGTTGGGAATAATCGGCAGTGAGCGGCTCTCATCGATAAACTGGTGAACATAGGGGTCGATGAAGCTGAGTACAGCAGCTTTAATTTTGCAAGCATTTTAATTTTAGCTTCGCATACACAGCCTGCATTTCTTTTTCTGATAGAAACGCGATGGGCTTACTTTGATCGTCCTTTTCCGCTGAGTTTTCCTGCTGTTCCCCGAAATTTGGGTGCTGAGAGTCGATTCTTTGGTCCATCGTGTTTTTAAAAGTCGATTTCCCGCACCTTCGAGTACGGCACTTCTCTAACATAAGTTGGCAGAATCCACGTGCATTTTGTTTGAGCACATGCGAGTTTCCCTTGGATTCTTGTCACTGCTTCGATATAGAAAAGTACACTCGCTACGTGCGAGCAGGATTCAGCAAGGCCTGCCTTGCAGCCTTAGCAATGAGTAGAGAGAATGGTACCATCACTTTCTGCGATGATCCAAATGTCTTCAAGAGGATCGTTCATCCGCTGCGAATGTCTCACCTTCGCCACAACAACAATCTTGTTGAGAATCTCTGCTCCTTGAACCGATGTTACGAAGCCAGACATCACTTGCATGTACGCTTCAACATTTTTGAAAGCTTTAAATTGATGATTTGTATAATAACTTGTCTCCAGAACTAAATAGGAAAGAAGGTCCGAGACTTCTATCGGGGGCAAACATTCTAAGTGGAACTGCTCTCTTGGAATGGCTGCTGGATCGACACCGACCACAGAAATTTTCGTTCTCGAACATGGCTTTCTAGGCCTTCCGCATAGTTCGAAAGCACGGGTATCCAAAGGAAAATATTCCCATGGAATTCTGGATTTTTTTCACTCGACGTATTCATAGAACAAAGTATTTGAAAGAGGGCACCACAGAGATGGCATTGTATTTGCATGAAATTTCACACCTAAGATGAGCACCAACATGGCGGCGCTTAATTTGCATATATGTATGACGTCAGCTACAAACCGAGAATATTGTAGCGGATGAGTGAAATAAACGAAGAAGGAAGTCTGGGTCGGGTTGTAAGCCGAACCTCGTGCCATTCACGATTCGCTCCATTTTACCAAGCTCGAGGCGAGCGTGAGGCCTTCGCGCTCGCCTCGCGTTCGTTTCATTTGATTCAGCTAACTTTTCACTCATATCTATCCGTGTAGCATTTTTACAAAGCGCCCCCACGTTGGTGGTGGAGAGCAAAACAGAAAGCTTGGCGAATATATCCGTGACAAGTGGGTCAGCTATAAGTTTGATCACGTGGAAATGGTGCGATATGACGTCCTTCTATCCAGGCCACCAAGAGATAAACCCAACGTCGTTCAAATCATCGACGTGCTCTTAGGAAACGTTGTCTGGAATGTAACAGGCCCTGAAAAGGCGAGTGACCCCCTGCTGTTATTAGGGTGATTTGTAAAAACTAGGATAAACTCGGAATTGATTGTGCACAGACAAACCCCGAAGCAAAAAAGGCACTCATATCCAGCACCAGTCATTTTTTATCCTCACTTGTTTAAATGGACAAAACTAGCACTCAAGTTCTAAATTTGCATGTCAAGCCGTCCTACATATTTAAATGCCTTAGCTTTGTCCCTTCTGTGTCGTCTTAACTCGTTATTTAAAAACATAATTAATTCTTAGAACATATAACAACTGTTTGTTTGTATTTTTCCTTTCAATTTCTTAAAAGTTCTATTTAAACTAACAAGTGAAAGACATGTTAAGTTAGGAACAACAATGGAGAGAATGTGTTTATTCCTATGGTACAGTTCCCCAAAAGGTCTATAGTTCACCTCTGGGAACTATATTTAAAGGGACAAAAATAAAATTTTCATTGTTCTTGCATTACTTAATATATTTTCACTTGTCCTTTTTACTCTTGACTTGATAATGACGTGAAGTCATTAAACAGCTTTTAGAAGTTCTAACGTTCTAGCGTCGAACTTTGTAATCATTTGTTTCTCCAAATTTCTTTTTATTTCAAAAAATTGAAGGGGAAATATTTTTTTGCTTGCGGCTTTTAGATCGCAGAGCCAAGTGAAAACGACCCTCTTGTCCTGCCACCCTTCCTGGGCTACTCTCCACCGGGAATCGTGGAGGCTGAACTGATGTACGCAAACTACGGTACTGTGGACGATTTCCTAGAATTAGAGAAGAGAAACTTGAAATGCACTGGAAAGATTGTGATCATGCGATATGGAAAAATATTTCGAGGAAATAAGGTAAAATTTGAGAAACG